TTACATTAATAACATGCTTTTTAGCATTCATTAGCTTCTGTTCCCTCACATTGAATCATCGGTTCTTGTACAATCACCGGCCTGGTCAGTACCTGGATGGGTAACTGCTTGGGAATACTCGGTATTGTTAGTTTGGATATGCTGGTGATGTAATGGTTAATGGCTCAGAATTAGAAATTGGAAAGCTGAGTACCAGTTGAGTTCATTATATCAACTTATATACAAATTGCTGATCCCATATCCATTGATTTCATGTTTATGGCCATATCATGTTCAACCAGTTCTTGTAAGTAATGTTGAACCAAGTCAGTACCTGGATGGGTGACGGCTTGGGAATACTAGGTGTTGTAAGTTTGGATATGCTGGGGATGTAATGGTTAATGGCACAGAATTGGAAATTGGAAAGCTGAGTATGAGTACCAGTCAAGTTCATTATATCAACTTATATACAAATTTCTGATTCCATATCCATTGATTTCAGGCTTATGGCCATATCATGTTGTAACACTTGTAAGCAATGTTAAGTCTGGTCAGTATCTAGATGGATGACTGCTTGGGAATACTAGCTTGGATGTACAGGCAGATAATGACCTTAAATTGGAGAGTGGAATTCCAGTTCTATTTGGTTTTGTTATATTAACTTAAGGGTAAATACCCTTGTGAAAGGTATGGATCCACCTCTTCTCTCTCCATTTATGGGTTAATTAGTAGATCCTGTATCAGTAAGTCATTCTTATTTCTAAAAAGTTCTTAGAATCTGAAAATATTTTTGCCTTTAAATAACCTGCAAAAGGTTGATAATCCATAAAAAACAATCAATCCTATTCTTAATATTCTTCAGATCTGTGATAGGATTATCATTAGATATACTTTTCTTTCCTCTTTTGATTGAATACCCTGTTTCTTTTTTTGTTTTGTTTTTTAAGCTCTTATTTCTTTGCGAATAAATGGAAAAGGGTTTTTTTCTCTCTTTTTTGTTTAAGAAACGCAAATATATCAATGTTAATGTTTTGACTGGTAATGTCAAAATTCTATCAAATCCAACAGTTAGTGCCTGCATTGTTTTTCTTTTTGATGGTTTATAAACAGGAACCAACTGTATGAATAGAATAGAAACATGAACATATCCTTAGTCTTGGTTGTATCTTGTATCAGTTAGTAATTATTTATCTCTAAAAATTTCATACAATCTAAAAATATTTTTTGACTTTAAATAACCTGAAATGGGTTGAGAGACCATAAAAAACAAAGCAATCTAGCATTCATTAAGCAACTTATTTAAAGTAATTTTTATGCAAAATGTTTTGCAAGCAATGGCCAAGATTACTCAAGATGAATGACAAGGTCTTATTTGTTCTATGTAATGCACACACTTTGTATCTTGTTTTGTCAGAGAGTGCACAGTTATAGGGAATTTCTGTTACATTTTTTGAAGTAGTTAATTGTTTATAGACATTATTTTCTGCCTTGACCTTCCTTTTTTTGGAAGATACTATTAGCAAATGTGCTTATTTTTGTAAAAGTGTGATACAAAAAGGAAATCCCAAATCAATGCACTATCACCTAAAACCATTACCAACCTATGAGAAAAGTCTTTGGAAAAGAGAGATAGGTGCACTAGTGACTGAAACAACATCACTGTTTGACTGGAATTCTTCTGATGTTACAATTAACATGATGATTACCAAGATTTATAATTTAATATCTTACTTATTATAAAACGCAGGTTGTGTGTGTGTGTGTCTGTAACGTTTATATGTTGGATCGAATTTCCTACATTTTTTAGCCAATTTCAACAAAACTTCACAGGACTACATAAAATTACCTTTTGGTGGTTCTAACGGTGCCGAAAATGGGGAAAAACACAGTTGTTTTTTAAGAAAATCAATTTGAAAACACGATTAAGACACATCGTGAGAATAAAAGGGGGAGAACTCACCCACGAAAATGTAAACAAAAGAGCATAGCATGATGAAAAAGACGCCGAACTTGACGAAAACAAAATTTTATCGTCTAATGTTCATATTATTCTTAAAGAGGAAAGATCAAAGTATTTTTGGAGTATTTTTTTTACATTTTTTAATCGTTCCTAGCACGTCTGAAATTTTCATTAAAAATATTTTTTTTTTTTGGTAAAAAAAAAAAGGACAGATAATCAATCATTTTTAATCATTTTTTTTCGATTTGATAAAAAGATTAAAATCTTACTTTGATATTCTTTTAAAAATCAATTATCATTTTTTCAAAACTGATTTTAATAAAACAGATATTATACTGTTTATTTAAAATATTTTGAACCAAGCTTAACTTAGCTTCTGCTTTAAAAAATGTAATTTGAAAAAATAAAACAAAGCAGGTCATAACCTTTCGGCGTCGCTTGACGATTGACGAAAGGCACATTCATGACGTTTAGATAACTTACGGGATGAGAACTCTTTCTACGGATGGAAGGAAGTGAAATTTATTTAAGTGAACAAATTATTTACCTCGTTACTTTTAAGGAAAACTTTCAGCGCTCTAATTTTTTTTTTTTTTTTGTACTTAGCTTTTTATTTTTTTTTTATTTTTACGTTTACGATGCTTTATGGAAAATATAAAGAAATTAAAAAATAAGACTGTTAATAGTGAGATTAAATTTCATAAGAAAAAGTTATCTAATTAATTTAGGTACCTTTCTTATGAAATTTTATCAGAAGTGTACATAAAATACTATAATTTTATGTACATTTATTACATTTTACTGTGTTATTTGTATTTCCATTCATTTTATTATTAATTTTTGATATTTCATTTATGGAAAAATGTCATAACTGAGATTAATATAAAAAATAAGATCATATAAATTAAAGTTTAGCAGTAGTTAAATTTCATAAGATGATACTGATACTTGTAGGTACCCTTCTCAGTTGAAATTGAAAACTCAAATTAACTTCTCCATACGTGTTTACATAAAAAGTAAAGGCCTTAACAGCGGAGAACAATGCTGAACTCAAATAATGCAACTAAATTGTATTCTGGTTGGTCTTCCGTACTTGATAATTACTGTCCGACTATAAACACAAAAATTACATTTCTTAATTACCATGGCTAATCTGATTGGTCCAAATTATACAATTTTCAAAGCGCTAGACAATGACAATCTCACACGGACATTTTGAAAGGTTGATGTTGCATTTAACTAATGTTAAAATATTTTTTAAAATTCAATTTAAACATTTTTTAAAAATCTTTTTAAAATTAAAGAAATAATTGTATTAAAAATTCAATTTTCATTGAAAAAATTTTTTGCTTCCAGAAAATATTGTCCATATTCATAAAAACAAATTAAAACAAATAAAAGCATTTGAAACTAAAATATATATTTGTTTTATTGAGTTTTGTATGTTACAATTCACAGCTGATTTTCAGGTGCGTTGGCCAAAAAAAAACAAAAAAAAATACATGATTTGCATTCTTCAAAGCCTTGTGCTTTTAACTATTGTAATCACTAAAACCGATGGTCTCGAATTTCTAGAGTTTTTCATAAAATTAGTTATGGGGGTGTTAATGAATATAAAAAAAATATTTCTGCCATGACTTTAATAAAAAAAAAAAAAAACATTTATAATAATTTCGATCATCTGTGAATAGTTTCTGAAAGTTTCATTAACATCTGACAATTATTTTTATTTTTGCAAGATTTTCCAAAATAATATGTGTAAATACAAAAAAAACGCGCTAAAAATTATCTATGTTATTTATTACTCCTTGTTGCGAGAAAGAGAAACAAGGTTTTTTAAATCAAAATTTAGAATATTCTAAAAAGATGGAAAATTTTTTTAAAATAATTAAAAAAAATTTAGTCTATCCTCTTCATAAAAACATAAGCATTTTGACGATAAAATTTTGTTTTCATAAACTTTAGCGTCTTTTTCATCAGACTATGCTCTATGTTTTAGCGATTCCGTGGAGTGACTTAGGTTAAAAAAAACCAGGTTGTTTTTGTGTGTGTGTGTGTTCCTTTATATATGGGATCGGATTTCTTACATTTTTCAGCCGATAAAACAAACATCCACTTTTTTTTTTTTTTTTGGCAGGTAGTATTTCTTATTGTCTTGCACACTTTTTTTTTTTATTTACATTCAGAATGCTTTAAAATTCCATTTACAAGACAATTGTTTATAATAAAATTCTATTCACCAATCGATAGACTCATAACGATTGTAAACAATGTTTTTGTTTGAATTTGGGTTTGACCAATTAAAAAAAAAAAAAAAAAAAAAAATAATTAAGACATGCGTGTCCGTCAACCTTAAACAATAATCTTTGTCAATTTTATTTTTCAGTCTTTATGATGGTCGATACTTGATCTATCTCTTACTGTTACATCCCCGGGCAACGCTGGGCTCTACTGCTAGTTTTTAAATATTTTGTTGAGGTTTTAATTTTTATGTGGGCTTGTTTAAACTTCCACTAATTTAGTGAAATGTAAAGAAAGAATAATCAAGGTTTTATAAAATATAACATTTTTTTTATATGCAAAAATTTTACAACAAAAGTTTAAAATTTTGTCTTTAATAACAATATTGTTGTGTGCTTGATATTGTGTGCGTTTGCAAATTTTTCTTTAAGCTTTTTTTGTGATGGGGGAAAAAAGTAAAATGTGAATAAACAAAATAAAAATTACTTGTTTAATGGCTCAGAACAAGAAATTGGTTAGCCAAGTTTGAATTCTGGTTGAGTTCATTGGATTCACTTTCATGCAAATACTCATGAGAAAGGAATGAATCCATCTCTTCTCTTTCCAGTTAGGGTTAAATAGCAGGGCATTCAAGACTCTTGAGCCATGATTGGCAACCATTTTAGGAGAAGAAAACTTTGAATTCCAAATTGTATGTAATACTGACAAAACACATACTATACAGGATCATGACATTCAAAATGATGCTATGATCTTGATTGTGGTTAATGTAATGGAAAATTTAAATAACTTTATTATAGATGTTAGAAAAGCTTACAGACATATCATATTGAAACACTGGTTCTCGTATGATTACCAAAGTTAAGCAACGCTAAGGCTTGATCAGTACCTAGGTAGGTGACCACTTGGGAATACCAGGTGTTGTAAGCATGAATATGCTAGTCATGTAATGGATAATGGCTTGGAATCGGAAATCAGATACTCAAGCATCAATTTCAGTTGGGTTCATTATATTCACTTACACACAAATACCCTTGTGAAAGTTATGAATCCACTTCTTCTCTATCCAGCTATGGGTTAATTTGTTGGACTTGTATATCAATAAATCATTATCTGCAAAAACAATTTTTACAATCTAAAAATGTTTTCTGGCTTTAAATAACCTGAAAAGGTTAAGCCATGAAGAATAGATTAATGGATCAATATAGATATATAAGAAAAATTTGCAATATGATAATTTGATATAAGTTTAAATGATGCATAAATTTTTATTGTTTTATGTAGATTATAAGCTGACTAAATTCTATTTTAAAGTTGAATTCTTAGTTGGAATTTCATGTTTTATTAATAATATTTAATAAAAAGTAGCCTTTTGTTTAAAGTTGGCCAAATTATAAGATTTGTTTTAATGATGTGTCAATTATAATTTGATTGTATAGAATTTATTTGCTTTATCAAATTTTAATTTATATAGATTTTCCTAATTATTAATGAGGCACATGTAATAATCAGCACAACTTAAACACTGGAGAACTTTTAATTTAACCTTTAGCACCCTGTATTATTAATATTACTCCCCTTTCTACTGCATTCTTTTTCAATACTTCTCAATTGCAGTAACCTTATTGTTAATTTCACTCAAATGTGTTTTTTGTTACCATAGCAGGATATGACAACACAACTATGAAATTCAAACAAATTCAAATTCAGGGATCAGTTACCTTCAGTGACAGGATAAGCTTTTTGTACAGCAAATGAAGTCATATTCAGTGTGATAAATGTTAAAAATTTTGAAGTACTTGACTTGGGCAAGAAAAATCTTATGACCTTCAGCATTTAAAAGTTCTTCTGATAAGTTTCTAAATCTGCCAATGTGTCTATCCATTTTCTTTTTGCCACTGTTTTCTAATTACATTGCGTGATCATCAAATTCTCCCTTCTCTCATCATTCTGTTGTGTCTAGCAGCCAACTGTGAAATGTTACAAATTCAGTCTTGACGTTATCCATTGGGAAAAATTAGTAGGGAAAAGGGCAACCATGTTTCACTCCAGTAAATACATCCAACATATGTGTACAAATGTTTTCATAGGCAAAATTCCATGCATTTGTTTGAAGGTCTACACTTTTCAGTAGACAGCCTTTCTCTACTTTTCCTTTATCTTCCCCACTTCTATATTTACATACACACATCTATTTTTCATGTAGGCATGTACATGTATCTGTAAATCTGGGCAAGTGTGTGTGTGTGTGTATATATATATATATATATATATATATGATTTATTTGAACAGCAGTTTTTTTTATGTTTATTCAAGTTTGGTCAAAGACCAATGAAAATTCTTTAAGGATTTTTAAATTTACTTAGATATAAATTTGGCTATACTCAAACTTTAGACAGTTTATATCTAAATATGTACCTGAATCAAAGAAACTGATCTGAAAAATAAGTTTTAAAAATCTTTCACGAAGAATCATCGTTGTTTAAGCAAACTTCTGTGTATGTGTTTGCATATATATGAAAAATTAGAATCCCTCCTGGATAACGACAACACCTACACCAAAACCAATGAACAAACTATAAACACTGACATACACATTCAACAAAACAATAAAGAAACTATTAAAAATGAAAATAAATTTTAATCTAGATTATTAGAGTACCACCCCAATATACCCACACTATATGGCTTACCCGAGATACACACACAAAATACCCATCAGACCCATTGTGTTCAGAATTAATAGTGCACCCCACAAATTACAGCCATCATTAAAATCCTAATCCTGTTTCTAGGTACTTTCAGCGCAACACACATGAAACATTTGCGTGACTTACTCCAAAGAATACGTAACATAAATATGACTAACATGTCAATGGCGAGTTTAGTCATCAAATCATTATATAATAATATACCGATCACAAAATGCCTTAATATATTAAGAAATCCCCTCAAAAATCCAAGGAAAAGCTTCTTCTACCAGTCAAAAATTATTAAGATATACAAATTAATCACTGTTTCTTTTCTTTTAATAACATTTTCTACAAACAATAATTCAGTTTACCCATGGGGTCACCTATCATTAGTGTTCTCACTTGCCGCTTTCTAGAATTTTTAGAATCTGTCCCATTTAAACATATCATACCTAACAGCTCTACTTACCTGAGATACATCGATGACATATTCTTACTTTATCCCCAACATACAAACCTATTAAATATAATAACAAAACTCAATAAGGTTGAGCTCTCCATTGAATTCACACACAAACTTGAAACAAACAACTCTCTACCTTTCCTTGACATCTTATTAATACGCAACAATGATTTTAAAGTTTACCAAAAACCCCCAAAGAAAAATAACCTAATCAACTTCTATTCCCACCACTATCAAAAAATAAAATCTGGATTAGTCATAGGATTTCACTTCAGAGCCCTTAGGATATGTAGCCCTGAATACCTAAATGAAGAAGAGGAATATATTGAAAAAACATCCAAACTTCTCAACAATGCTAAAAAACAAGCTCACAAAATTCATAAAGCCAAAAACAAAACAAAACGGATACTTCCAAAATTTATACAAAATTCATAATCTTGCCCTGTAACACTCTTTCAAATAAACTGACAAAAAAATTAGCCATCCCTAACACTAGGATTGTTACCAACACCTCCAAGACAATTGGGGACATAGTCAGGAAGAAAAATAAACCAAACACCATTTTAAATGCTTTATTTACTGATTGAGAAATGTGGACATACATAAAAAGCAGAGACACACACAGAAAAACATTTTCTGTTTTATATATATTGCATATATTTTGTCAACATTTCATTAAGACATGTCTCATTAAATAATTTAGACAAATTTTGTTTGTACTTATTTTTAATAGGATTCTCTCATAATTATGGTCCAGTTTCTTAGTATCTTTATTAAAGGAAGAAAAAATATTACCATGTTGATGTCTATTCGTTTTATTCCGAGTACTTTTGACATGAGCACAATGTCATCATCAAGGTCTTGCTTTTTCTAAGACTAAAAATTGTTGTGTTCACCTAAAAATTAAATTTTTATGTGTGAAGTGAAAAACAATAAGCCTATGTACTGTACAATTTTTCAATTTTATCATGTAAACACATGCAAATGTCGAGAGGTAACTAAGTTATTGAAATGTCTAAATATTTTTTTAAAAATATTTAAAACTATTAGTTAAAACCTAGATAGTTTAAAATATCTACTGTAAACATTTCAAAACATTTGTGCAGTATTCATAATCTTATTAAAGGTCAGTTTCAATTTTTTAATATAGATAGCTTCAAGAATTTTTTGTTTTATTATTTTCATGAAAAAGTATAGATGTATTTTCAACAAGAATTTTCCTAAATTGCCAATGTGAACAAGCATGCTGTTGTAAATGGTGAGATGTTAGATGCATCATTCAAATGAAAACTCAACCTTCAAGACAACATAGTAGTGGTATGACCAACATATGTATTATTTTTTTTCTGTTAGAGATACAATCACCCAAGGGACATTTATATTTATATAAAATATCTACTCATATTGTGCTTAGATCACATGCAGCTTTTCCATAACCTTTCACTAATCTACAGTGAATGCCTGCAATAATTCTATGAAAGCTTTTTATTTTCTGTTTTTTTCGAGAAAGACAGCCATTTTGAAAGAGGATTATGGAGAAGATGACTCCACAAATTCTTCCCATGGGTTTTTAGACATTTTATGCTTTAAAAAAAAAAAAAAAAAAAAATACAGGGAAACGAAAAAGACCCTGACGATTTTAGAAAAAAAAAACAAAAAAAAACTGATCCATACATTCTTCATGATGATTAATTCAGAAAAGATTTTTATTTTTTTTTTAAGCATTAGTACTTTTATCTAGGGATTGATAATCCCAGGCATTTGGGCAATTAATGTCAGTGTAGATATTCAAGGTGAGTTTTATTATAAAATTAGACAGCCAAAGATTAACCTCAGAAAGTGTAAACAAAAGTATTCTTTAGCTCAGGATAATGTTCATCAAGTGGTAACATATTTTTACATCATACTTGTCTTACAGAATGCTTTACTTACAAGTAAGTAAAATAAACAAAATAGTGTGGCATAGCAGTGAAAAAGTGTTTTACAAAAAGTGAAACTAAAAAATCATTTGGACATATTTTTTTCTTTTTCAATAAATCCCAGGGTCTTTATCTTTCTAACAAAATTTCAAGGTCATTTTTTTTTTTTTTTTTTTTAAAAAACCATTGTCATTTGTGCTTTCTAAGAAAAACCTCAGGGTTATTTTTTCTTTTTTCTAAAAACGAAAACATCAAGGTTGTTTTTTTTTGTTTTTTTTCTAAAAACCTTAAGGTCTTTTAGCATTTCTTTTTTTTTGTTATCTTTATCATCATAAAGAAGGGGTTCAAGTTCAAATTTTATTCAAAAACCTTATATATATATTTTTGTGGGGGTATTTTTCTTTCTTTCTGTGCACTTGTGACTTAGAGGTCTATAATGATTTTTGTTACTTTTTAAAGAGCTTTTTTGCCTTACTTCGTGACATATTTAATTTGTTGCTAAATAGACATACTTTCATCTACATATGCTTTTATAATAAAAATGTGTTTGTACAGGCATATGGCGACAAGCCTTTACTGTTTAAGACCTTTGGTTTGAATTTCATTCCAAGGCACAACATAGAATATCTCATAGCAAATCCCGTTTCATATACTAAATAGTATATGAAGGCAATACAAAACCTCAGATATTTAATAAGAATAAAAAAAACATTTAAAAACATAAGATTTTCTTTTGTACTTAAACTTTATATTTTAAATTATAATTTGATTAAATCTTGAAAATAAGGCAATATTAAGACTAAGTCTGGAAAACATATTTAAGAGATGCTAATCAGTATCCTTTAACTGTGT